GATAACGGACCAGTTGGTAAGCTTGTGATTTTAATAAGCTGAAGCTTAAGCTTGAGTTTATTACGTTAAGTTAAACATGTTTAGGCACCGATAATTCGATGTCAGTTGGCTACATGTAATATAAAGCTTTTATATTCTATCTGCACGACATATTAATGATGCAAGTGATAAGACTTATGAAAGGCTTTTATCAACAGAATTTTCAAACAACAGAAAAGAAGTAGAAACTAAAACGCCACACACTTGAAAAGGAAACCGTAATTTATGTTTCACGTAGATTGGTTGTGGAAGAAATTGTTAAAATTACTGGTTTTGCTTCAGTGTTTTTCGTCGTTAGATGAACGAACCGGAAAATTCTATTTTTAAAGTTTCTCAGAAGTTTTAACGCACATTCTTGGTAAATCTATGGAAAGGGATTAACAATTGTACGTAATGTACTCATTGCCTTGTATGGCTTTGGAAAACATTCGATACTTGAGCACCTTAAAATTAATTGGACCTCAACTTAATTGGATTTTCTCTTTTCTGAAACAAGTATCAGCCATGAGGCTGAGTGACAGGAAGGTTTTCAGTTCATTTGCATGCAATTTGATATTGCCATAACACCATCATGGTCTGTGCCATTCATTCTTCTGAATTTTGTTTTGATTTTGATGGGTTTAGTATTTAAGAAACAGAGAACTTGTACCGTGTCTCTAATGAGTTTAAGTATAAATCTACTAGCATTCCATCACAAATGATAATAATAATAATAAAACACGTAAATAGTTGACACAATTACCGGTAACCCAGTAGTTTACATTGTGGGCTATATAAAAAAAAAGTAAGAGTGAAAAAAAAAAAAAAAATATTTAGTTAAAAAATGTTAAAATATTGAAGAAGTTAAAATATAATACAGCATGTACATAAAATGTATTTGGATATATTACAAGACATTTTCAAAATGTTCTAGAGACGGTAAAATGTTCACGGTCTGAATTACTTTGTAAAAAGTTGTTCACTAAAAGTTTAATGTCTAATGTTTTAATGTCTAATGTTTAATTTCACTAAAAGTTAAATGCCGTTCTCTGATTGGCTAAAAATGACTAGTACATTTATACTAAAACAACTAGATTATTTGCTCTCGATTTCTATGCGTGACAGTTAAATCGGGCTGCGCCCTTGTCAGTTATCA